CTGCATTTATCCATCCATCCATCCATCCATTCATTAATCCATCCATCCATGCATCCATCCATCCATCCATCCATCCATCCATCCATCCATCCATCCATCCATATATCCATACATCCATACATCCATATATCCATACATCCATTTATGCATTCACTCACCCAAGTGCTGTGATATTCCTTATTCAGGAATTTATCGTGACTTGTCTAAGGTCACGCGGTGGGGCGAGGAGAGGAGGCAGAGGCCTGGGCCCCCTGGTTCGTCACCCTGTGCTGGGTGCTGGGTGCTGGGTGCTGGAGCTGCCCTGGAGACGTGTCTCCTTCAATTCTCCGCCCTCGTGCAGCTCACAGGCAGGTTCTCACCCGGCCGCAGCCTCTCGGCCCACAGGTAACAGGAGAGCATGGAAACCCCGGCATGTCTGACCCCAAAGCCACCTGGTCAAGTGTCCTGCTGTCCAGTCCCTCGAATCTAAAGTAGTGGGAGCCCAGGCCCGTGTGACTCGGTTGATTGCCCATCGGCCCATGCACCAAAAGGCCGCCGGTGAGATTCCTGGGCAGGGCACATGCCAGGGTTGTGGGCTCAGTCCCCAGTAGAGGGTGTGCAGCGGGCAGCCCATCAATGTCTCCCTCTCCCCCTCTCCCTTCCCCTCTCTCTGAAATCAATAAAAACACAGTTAAAAAAAATAAAGTAGTGTGAGTGCCAGGGGGACTGTTGTGGACATTCTGCTGGGAAGGCAGGAGCAGAACTCGGGGGATAGTCCCCAGCTGGGGCTGAAAGGATGAGCTGGATTTTTCCAGGGGGAGAACGAGGGAGGATGTTGGCAGGAACTAAGCAAAGAATACAGCCCTGGAGGCAGAGGACGTGAGTGCTTCCCACGATGTGCTGTTCCCAACTTTCTGAAGCCCTGGCGTGTCGCTTACCCATTCCCGTGGTGTAAATACTCCCGCTGGGGCTGATTTCAAGCCCCCAGTGTGAAGTCATTGACTGTGGAGTTGAGATTTCTACTAGCACGCCAGTCAACATGCAGTATTTCCCACGGTCAGCACAAGGATCCCAAAGTTTAAGGCAAAGCGATACAAATAAAACCCCAAAACAAAATGCTCAGTAGTCAAGATAAAGAGTATTTTAATGCAATATTTAAAAATTTAATGCAAAAAAAGAAATACACAATGGATAAAATATAAAAACTTTGGCCCAGCCGCGGTGGCTCAGTGATTGAGTGTCAACCTATGAACCAAGAGATCACAGTTAGATTCCCAATCAGGGCACATGCCCAGCTTGGGTGCTCGATCCCAGTAGAGGGTGTGCAGGAGGCAGCCAATCAATCCACAGTTCTTATCATTGATGTCTCTCTCTCTTTCTCTTTCTCTCTCTCTCTCTCTCTCTCTCTCTCTCTATATATATATTTAAACCTTTAAAGACAGGATCTGACCTTACACTTGGACCACTGTGCCTCATACTAACCCTGGCCCTGATTTTAATAAAACTTTATTTACAAAGACAGCTTATGGTGGCAATTTACCAATTTGATTTTTTAAATGATTTCATTAAAATAGTGCCCTGACGGTGTGGCTCAGTTGGAGCCACATCCTGTGCACCGAAAGGTGGCAGATTTGATTCCTGGTCAGGGCACATAGCCAGGTTTTGGGTTTGGTTCCCATATGGGAGGTAACCTATTGATGTTTCTCTCTCTGTCTTCCTCTCTCTGAAATTAAAAAAAAAGTATTTCCTTCATACAGGTACAATAGATATAAATAACCTTAAGACCATAATAGTAAAAATATAGTAAAACTAGAGGCCCAGTGCATGAAATTCATGCAGTGGTAGCATCCCTAGCAGCTGCTGCCTGCCTCCAGGGCCTCCCTCCCTTCCCCAGGTAGGCCCTGCCCCCTGGTCGAACTCCCGGACGTCCTCTCAGTAGAGGGGACAATTTTCATACTAAGCTTTTATTATATAGGATAAGAACCTGGGACCTTTCAGTCCGCAGGCCGATGCTCTATCCACTGAGCCAAACCGGTTTCGGCACCTTTATTTTAATATAAGGTATTTAATTGAAATTTTAGTAATTCAGTAAAAACAATTTTAGTAATCACAAAGTGCGATACCCAGGACACAGAATTCCTGAAAATGTACAACCAGCGCCAGTGCTGGCTGGCCGTGACCGTCAGTTGTGCTTCCTGCCAGGTGAGGAGCCCTGTGCGGTAGTCAGGGTGTGAGGGGGCAAGGGGGGTCTGTAGTTTAAGGCCAAGGCCACCTCCGTTTAATTTGAATTAATCAAGATTCCCTTCAGTTCTTTCAAATTTTGAATCGGCTCAAGCTTCATCCAGACCAGAAGTTTGGACTTCCCCAGGCTCCGCTCCAGCCTCTTCCCACACCGTCGTCATGACAACCGCGTCCTCACGCCCTCCTTTCGGGTAGGACGTGAGAGAGCGGAGCCACGCTCCTATTGGTGCAAAGTTTGAAGTGGGCGGGTTCCACTCGCTCGCATTGGTGGATTAATAGGGGCGGTGCCTGCTCCCATATTCCCATTGATGGATTGATCAAAAGGGGCGGGGCTATGAGTCGCAGTTGTGGGACTGGAGCCGGACCACAGGGCTGCACCTAGGAGGGAGGGAGGAGAAGTCCTGGGATATTTGGAAAGATAAAGGTGAGGGGGTATCACCTGGCGGAAAGGGCGAGAAATCGGGGGCGGTGATGGGGGAGGGGGGGCGACGCAGAGACGATGTTCGGGGTTTCCCTGGGTGTCTGTCCCGCAGGGCGATGACCACCCCGGCGGGCTCCGGCACGGGCTTCGGCTCCGTGTCCTGGTGGGGCCTGTCCCCGGCGCTGGACCTGCAGGCTGAGAGTGAGTCCCCACCCCCCCGACTCCCCAGGACCACACCTACCACCGCGGCCGCCTCCCCAGATGGTGCAGTAACGTTCTCCGAGGTTCCAACGGCGGGGGGCGCCCCCGAGTGGGCAGCCACACAGGTGGCCTCTCTGAGGACTACGACTCCCAGAATGCTTAGAGGCACAGCTCCTCTCAGAACCTAAGGGGGAGTTGTGCAAGTTCTGCTGGGAGTTGTAGTCATCGCGCTAAGGGAGGCTGTCGAGGGCGCTCTTCAGGCCACCAGCCCTAGTCCGTTGTCGCCTCGCTAGGTCCTCCTGTGGACCCGGACTCGCAGGCCAATGCGGAGCACGGGACCCCCGAGCTAGATGTGCTGCTACTGGGCTCCGTAGACGGGCGCCACCTGCTGCAAACCCTGGCCCGGGCGGAACGCTGGCCACGCAGGAGGTTTCAGGTGAGTTGGGAATCTGGGGTATGAGAGGAGGAGGATGAAGACAAGAGTCCCGCCAGGTCGGTGTGGCTGGATCCAGCCCAGTAGTTGAGCATCGATCTAGGGAGGTCACGGTCCGATTCCTGGTCAGGGCACCTGCCCGGGTTGTGGGCTCGATCCTCAGTGTGTGGCGTGCAGGTGGCAGCAGATCCATGATTCTCTCTCATCATATTGATGTTTCTCTCTCTCTCTCTCTCCCTCTCCCTGCCTCTCTGAAATTCATTAAATAAAAATTTTAAAATAAGAGTTCAGATTCCCAAGGCCCTGGGGGAGTGGGAAGCTGGGGTCCTGGACCCCTGGGTCTGAGGGAGGTGGAAGCTGGAGCCCAGCGCATGCGTCCTGAGGAAGGAAGTGTCTGCGACTGGGGATCCTGGGTTCAAGTGGGAGAGAGAGGCCTAAGGACGGGGTCTCCTGAGTCGTGCAGGGGAGGAGGGTCCCGAGAGCCCAGACCCTTGTGTTTGAAGTTGGGGGGCGGGGAGGGGGTGTGTGTACAGGACTCCTGGGTCCTGGAGAAGGAGGGTCCCGGGCTCCCAGTCCCAAGTCTCCTAGGAGTCAGGGACACGGATCTCAGAGCCGCTCTGCCTGCCCATCCTCCCAGTTCTACGTGCTGGAGAACAATCTGGAAGCGGTGGCCCGGCACATGCTGTTCTTCAGCCTGGCCCTGGAGGATCCTGAGAAGATGGGACTGCAAGGTGAGTTGCAAGGACCAGGGTGGAAGGGCGTTCTGCGCTCCTCCCCTCCCCCCTCCCTTCCTCATCCCTGCAGAGTCTGGCTTCCCAATGGTGCAAGGTAAAACTTTGGCCATTGTTCCCCATTTCATCGTTGGCTCACTTATTGGAAAGAATTCCAAGAGAGAAACCCATGCAAAACACTCGGAACAGTGCATGGCAGGGTCTACCCGTTCCAAACCTCCTGCAGCCGGAGAAGCCCAAGAGAGGTCAGGGGACTTCCCGAGCCAGAGCTAGTGAGTCTGCAGATGCTGGGAGGGTTTGGCTGAGCTGAGAGCCCTGCCCCAAGCCTCCCCCAGTGAGAGGTGTGAATCCCAGGGAGCCAGCCTGGAGGAGGCAGCCTCCAAAGTGAGACTAAAAGGAGAAGAGGTCACAGGAGGATGGGGAGGGAGGCAGAAAGTGATTGTTTCTCAGTAACAGTTTCAGGTTAGCACCGAGAGCAAACTCTGGATTCAGACAAGCTGTGCTCACATTCCGGCTCTGCTCTACAGAGGACTTAAAAAAAACAAACCCAAAAACTTATTCTAAATAATTGAATGTAAACAGGGCATTCAGGGTTGGGGTTACCAGGAGGAACAGGGGGCTAGGCGAGGGGACCTGGGGGAGTGTAAGTTCTTTGCCTTCTAGCTGTTGGGGCGGGTGGGGAGTTTGCCGGTTCCCTGGTGCATGTCCTATGACTCCTGATAAGATTCTGAGAAACATCGATGAGAAAGAAACATCATTGATCGGCTGCCTCCTGCACACACCCCGACTGGGGATTGAGCCGGCAAACCAGGGCATGTGTCCTGACCGGGAATCGAACCGGTGACCCTTTGGTTCCTGGGTCGAGACTTGACTGCTGAGCCGCACCAGCCGGGCTATTCTAAATATTTTTATGATCTACTTCCACAGAGTACTTTTGAGGATTCACACACACACACACACACACACACGCACGCACAGCATAGCTTCTGACTTCTGATATAGACTGAATACATCTTAGCGATTATTGTTATCATTAATATGGATGGTAGCTGTCAATCAGAGCCCAGGGCATTCATCATATATTGCACACAACTTACAGCGCACTCTGCATAAAGCTCTTGACCAACAAGAACTAATCTAACTTTTATCCATCTAACTAATGGTATAGAGTTATCTTTTTAAGGTTGTTAAACAACTAAGATGAACCCATTTAGATAGGTATCTATAATAATAAAAGCATAATATGCTAATTAGACCGGATGTCCTTCTAGACAACCTTCCGATTGAAGCCAGGGCGGTGAGACTTATTGGAAAGAATTCCAAGAGAGAAACCCATGCAAAACACTCGGAACAGTGCATGGCAGGGTCTATGCGTTCAAAACCTCCTGCAGCGGGAGAAGCCCAAGAGAGGTTAGGGGACTTCTGGAGCGAGAGTTAGTGAGTCTGCTAAAACATCAATAAAATATATTTTAAAAAAACAATTTTAACACACTTATCTCCGTCTCTATTTATAACCGTTACCCTTTAAAAACTATATATATATATATGTGTATACAACTGAAGATATATAGTTTTCTCTTATAAGATTCTTAACAAAACGGAAACAATTTATATATCAATTTGTGCCGAAACCGGTTTGGCTCAGTGGATAGAGCATCGGCCTGTGGACTGAAGAGTCCCAGGTTCGATTCCGGTCAGGTGCATGAACCTTGGTTGCGGGCACATCCCCAGTAGGGGCTGTGCAGGAGGCAGCTCATGGATGTTTCTCTCTCATGGATGATGTTTCTCTCTCATCCCTCTCCCTTCCTCTCTGTAAAACATCAATAAAATATATTTTAAAAAAACAATTTTAACACACTTATCTCCGTCTCTATTTATAACCGTTACCCTTTAAAAACTATATTTTTATTCATTTCAGTGAGGAAGGGAGAGAGAGAGAAACATCAATGATGAGAATCATTGATGGACTGCTTCCTGCTCGCCCCCCCCCCACGGGGGATGGAGCCCTGATGGGAAATGAACCATGATCCCCTGGTATAACCTTTACCTGTTTAAGGCAAAGGGAATGTAAACAGGGCATTCAGGGTTGGGGTTACCGGGAGGGGCAGGGGGCTAGGCGAGGGTACCTGAGGGAGTGTAAGTTCTTCTTTGCCTTCTAGCTATAGGGGTGGGTAGGGATTTTGCTGGTTCCCTTGTGCATGTCCTATGACACCTGATAAAATTCTGTAAAGAAAGCCCGTGTCATACAGAACGCGTCATCCTACAGACAGGTTATGAGACGCTCCTGTCATTGCTGGGCCCACTCCTCGCCGCCCCCCCCCGCCCCCCATTGCTT